TTTGGAGGCGGCGCATACATGAAAAGTGGCATTGTTGGCCTCCGGGCGAACTCTCGGAAGCACCCCAGTGCTTGCAAGGCTTTCGCAAGTGCCATCAGATTTGCAGCTCCAGCTTGTCCTTTTACCAGTTTTTCAGTGCACGCAGACGCTCCAACTACGACTCATGTCGATCGCTACAACGCCGATGCTTACAACGTAGTGTTGCCTCTTACTGAATTTGTAGGAGGCGGCATCTGGCTTCAGGAGGACTCAGGTTGCATTCCTTCGCCAGAGGACTGTCAATCTTGGGCGTTGTCGCTGATGTCGCTCCAGGACCGTGTGCTATTGACGCCAGGAACCGAAAGCACACCGTCATGCCTTGGACTGGCGCGCGCGTCGTGTTGGTTGGGTTTTCTGCTGCTGCTTTTGCAAGACTTAGCGCATCGGACGCTGAGGCGCTGAGCTCCATTAGCTTCAACTTGGCCATCAAACCCATTGGCCAATCTGCTCCAGCCTTTCTTTCGACAGGACTGTTCGACTTGAGATCTCCTTCGAGGCCAGCGGTGTCCCAGACTTTCGATGACAACTCAGCCGTGCAGCCATTGACTTTGTGCACTCCCCCAAGTGATGGCAACTTCAGTTCTGCCGGTAAGCCTGCGCGATTGCTCGTGATTGAAGCATGCTGTGGTTGTGCACGTTTGTCAGCTACGCTCAAGAAAGACGGCTTTGATGTTTTGCCCCTCGACTTCGAGGGCAACAGGCACAGGCCACTCGCTACTGTGACTTCGCTTGACTTGCGTAAGCCTGCTTCTTGGGAGTTCTTGCAAACTTGCGTTTTGACGAATCATGTCTTTCACTTTCATGGTGCGCCTCCGTGTGGAACTGCTTCAAGGGCCCGTGACAGGCCCATGTCATCATCAGAGTGGGGGCCTCCCCCTCTGAGGTCAGAGCGTTATCCACAAGGCTTTCCTTGGTTGAGTGGAACCTGGCGCGACAAGGTTGAGAGTGCAAACTTGATTTATCATCAGATGGCGCGATTCTGCAAATGGCTTTCTTCCTTGAACATCAGTTGGAGTGTGGAGAATCCTGAGCGCAGCTACATGTGGCTGCTGCCGGAATGGAAGCACTTGCAATCTCAATCGCTTAATGTTGTCTTTGATTCTTGCATGTGGGGCTCATGTCGTAAGAAATCCACTCGATTTCTTACCACGTGCGTTGAGATGCTCTCCTTGGCTAAGTCGTGTGACAACAAGCATGTTCATGCAAGTTGGAAGCCCATCAGGGATAAACGCAGTGTCCAATACGCCACTTCCCAGGAGGCTGCTTATCCTCATGAGCTTTGTCAGGCCATGTCAGCTGCTTTGCAACTTCAAGCTGCTTCTTTCAACTTGGAGGTTCTTCGTGAGTGCCCTCTTGAGCAATCTTCTCATGCCGCTGCTGCCTCTGCCAGAAGACAGCCCAAGCTGTCTAAGTACAGGCCGCTCCTTGAAGATTTCAAGTATCGCGTGACCGTTGCAGTTGACTCCCTTGAGGCGCTACCGCTTGATGCTAAGTCTAGCTTGAAGATTGCTCTGCCTTCTGTTCCTGCAGGGGCTAAACTCCTCCGCAGGCCTGTGTCTCGAGCCAGGAGTCGCATCGGTGCTTAAGGGCACGAAGCTTTTGCTTCTGCGCAAGGTGGCTGCCTCGCTGGGATGGCCAGACGAGGCTCTTCATGAAGAGTTGGTGCGTGGCTTCCGCATTACGGGGTTGCAGGAGGCAAGTGGTGTCTTTGGCCTTGATGCCTCCTAGTGCTCGCAAAAACGAGCTCTCAAACCTAGCTGTTGGCCTGCCCAGGTGCTAGCGGCTCACACCTTGCTCGCAAAGCCGAGCACAGCCTACCTGCCTGCACAGGCCTTTTGTCTGAAGATACGTGGACATTTTTACTTGCCCTAGGCCCTAACCCTTCGGGTGCCCGCCCTAACTCCGCCCCCCAGGTCGCTTCGTCTTCCTCGCCTACACTGGTCCCTGGTGCAGCTCAACCCTGAAGCCTAAGTCTCACTTTGGGCTTTTGTTTTCATGCCACATGAGACTTTGTAGTGGCCCTGTGCCTTCAGCCTCAAGGGTACGTTAGCCTACAGATGCCACGCCATCTCACACAGGATAGATGGCATTTGCCTTTGGTTCGCTTCCGAGCCTAGTTAGTGGCCTGCACTCAACTCGTTGCTTTCACAAACCCTAACTGGGGGGTGACTTTTAGCCTACGGCCCAGCCTCGGGCCTAGGCCCCTCCGGCTAGCCCCGAGCCTATTCAGAAGCATTACGGTCAAAAAAGAAGCTGCGAGTAGTTCAAGTGGTAGAGCAGTGCAAGCTTAAGAGAACTTGGGGTTTGTCAATAGCAGCTTCTTTGAAGGCTTTGGGCCAACCAGCATCTTCTTTTAAATAGCAAGTTTTGTGTCAACTCACCTTTCCGTTTGGGAAGTTTAGGGTTTCCCAACCATTCTTTTTGCGTAGGGTTTCAACCTAGCAGCTTCTTTGCAGGATTGTGATGAACCGACATCTCTCCTTTTCTGGTTTGGGTTTCCCAGCCATTCCTTTTGTGTTATCTTTGCAGGGTTTGGGGTTTGTCAATAGCAGCTTCTTTGCAAGCTTTGAGTCAACCCAGCATGTCCTTTTAGGGTTTGGGGCTTGTCAATAGCAGCTTGTTTACAGGCTGTGGGTCAACCAACATCTTCGTTTATGGTTTGGGGTTTCGTTTATTCTTCCGGTTTTTGGGTTTGTCAACAGCAACTTCTTTGCAAGCTTTGTGTTAACCCACATTTCCGTTCAGGAAGCTTGGGGTTTCGCAACCATTCTTTTGCTTAGGGTCCTAGCAGCTTCTTTGCAGGCTTATGGTGAACCAACATCTCTCCTTTTCGGGTTTGGGTTTCCCAACCCTCTTTCTATTTTCAAAAATAGTACGCCAGGGCGGCGTGCTTTTGCGATAATCATGTTTTGCATGGATTTTGTCACTGAGGATTCCTGTCGCCAGCTTACTTGACATTCTTGGTTTGGAACAGTCCTATGTGCTTTAGACATCTGCCACCAGTGTATATGTATTCTGGTGCGAATGGATTAGGCTCAGTCAGTGGGACTCCGTAGTCTGTGTGTGTGTGCATGAAACACCTAGAGCCAAGGCTCCTACTCCAAAGCATACGCGCGGGGTAGCAAATACAGACCGCCACGGCGTACCAGACCCCTTATTTTAGGGTTTGGGGATTGTCAAGCAGTTTTGGGAAGTTTAGCGTATGGGGTTTCCCAACCATTCCTTTTGCTTAGGGTTTCAACCTAGCCGCTTCTTTGCAGGCTTGTGGTGAACCAACATCTTTCCTTTTTTGGTTTGGGTTTCCCAGCCATTCCTTTTGTGTTATTTTTTCAGGGTTTGGGGTTTGTCAATAGCAGTTCTTTGAAGGCTTTGGGTCAACCAACATTTTTATTTAGGGTTTGGGGTTTCCCATCCAGTCAATATGTGTTTAGGGTTTCAGCATCACCTTTTCGGTTTGTGGGTTTGTCAATAGCAACTTCTTTGCGGGCTTTGTTTGTGTTAACGCACATTTCCGTTTAGGAAGTTTGGGGATTCCCAACCATTCTTTTTGCTTAGGGTTTCAACCTAGCAGCTTCTTTGCAGGCTTGTGGTGAACCAGCATCTCTCCTTTTCGGGTTTGAGTTTCCCATTGCGTTCACCTTTTAGGGGTTGGGGTTTGTCAATAGCAGCTTTTTGACAGGCTTTGGGTCAACCTTCTTTTGGGGTTTTGGGTTTCCCAGCCATTGAAAATGTTCAGGGTTCCAGCATCTCCTTTTAGGGTTTGGGGTTTGCCAATATCAACTTCTTTGCAAGCTTTGTGTCAACCAAAATTTTCGTGGTGAACCAACATCTTTCGTTTGCTGGTTTGGGTTTCCCAACCATTCCTTTTGTGTGCTGCTGTTTGGGGTTCGTCAACAGCAGCTTCTTTGCAGGCTTTGGGTCAACCAAGATCTTCTTTTATGGTTTGGGGTTTCCTTTACCTTTCAATGTGTTTAGGGTTTTAGCATCTTTTTTTGGGGTTTGGGGTTTGTCAACAGCAACTTCTTTGCAGGCTTTGGATCAACCAACATCTCCTTTTGGGGTTTGGGGTCTCCCAACCAGTCAATTTGCCAAGGCTTTCAACATCTGTTTCTAGATTCTAGGGTTTGGGTCTGTCGTCATTGTAGCAGTCAATAGCAGTGTCTTTGCAGGCTTGTGGTGAACCAATATTTTTTTTAAGGGCCTGGGGCTTCCCAACCATTCTTTTTGTGTTGGGTTCGCGGCCCCCCCGCAGCCTTGCCCCACCTCCGGCGCGGCGGCCCGCAGCCTTTTAAAAAGGAACATTTACCCAACAAAATGGAAATTCAATTTTCAATTGATTTACGAGTTCGGCTTTCGCTTGGCAGGTCTTCAAATCTCAAGACACGGTCTGCGCATTTGTAGGCAAGTTTATTCGTGGAAGTGTTGCTTCATGTTTTATGACTGATATGAGCGAGCATGCGGAGAAATTGTGTGAAGCGACGCGGTTTCCACCATGGGAGGGAAGGGTGGATGGATGGATGGACGGAGTCACCGAAGTCGTCGAACAATGAGGCCAGGCGTTGGTGCTGGTGCCGAAGACCGCAGCCCTGCTGCGCCGACGTCGCTGGCATGTGCACTTCCGTAGACAGGACTTGATTTATAAAGTCTTGGCGAAGCCAGCTGAACGTCAGTTTGCTATGTCATTGCATGCTTTGCAACTCCCCGATTTTGGGCCTGAGCAGCTGATACACTGAAGCTGAAGGCATCTTGGCTTGCAGCTTCTTGGTGGAAGATGTGTCCACACTTGAAACCATGGGGGTGTCGCTAGACCATGCATGCTTGTAGATGTCGGGCCTGGAAAAGAACTCACTTGACACAGATCACTGTCAGTCTGGTGCACCAACTCAAATCCAGGAACGTTTTCTTTGCCTAGGTGGCAAGCATTTCAGATGTAAGGAATCAAGTGTGAAGCCCGACGCCCCATGGCTCAGTTCTGGCCAGATCTCGTGCATCGCTCAGGCACATTGAGGTCTTCAGACTTCACAGTGGGCAAAGCGGGACCGTAAATTGTGTGCCGCGAACGCGCTAAGGCTGCTCAAATGATGGCCATGGCAGGCAAAGTAGTCTTCACGCGGAAGGCTGTTGTGTGTCAGCTGCCTGTGGGGTCAGGACCCTGTGGTTGTCGACCGCAGGACGGGGATGCGACATTTCGAGAACAGAGTTTGAATGATTGACAGTCGCTGTAGGTTTGCAGGGATCACGCTTCCTGTGTGCTTTGCAACATGATGATCAGGTGCAGTTTGCAGCTATGGGAGCGCAGGCAGGTGGAGTATACCAGTAGAACCTGGGCCAAGCATAGCACATCAACGAATGTCAGATGAGCGGCCCTCGGAAGGACATGCAGCAGCCTGATACTGAGAGCTTATCCCATCTGTTGGATCGGTCTGAAGACCTCTGTGAGGCCGTTACCTACAGCTTTGCCTCCAGTGTCCCACAGTGCCCAGCCTTCCCAACCCATGGGGCAGTAGCCTGAGAACTGCAGGGTTTCATGAGCTTCGGCGCTGCAGATCTCGCATTGAGGCCACAATTTGTGCCGCAGCGCGACCTCCCACAAGCGTCCCCGCAAGGCGCTGCAACCCTCAGCCAACCTTCACAGTCGCAGCCGTCGCAAGCACAAATGCACACTCCCCAGTCATCGCAGGCACCACCTGCGACACCCCCTACAAGCCAACCGGCTTCATTCCAAGCGTACCCGTCACCCAGCCACATTCCCAAAGCGCCAGCACAGATTCAGCAGCCCACTCAGCTTCAGCCCTCGCCGCAGGCACCCGTTCGCATGCAGCCCCAGCAAGCGGTGCCGCCGCAGTACGAGTCCCGCCCTCAAGCGATGCCGTTTCAGCCTCCCCAGCCACAGCCACAGCCAGTGCCCATGCCGGCGCAGCCGCCGCAGCAGCCGGCACTACAGCAGCAGCCGCCGCAGCAGCCGGGACTGCAGCAGCAGCAGCAGCAGCAGCAGCAGCCACCGGAGCAAGCGCAGCATCCAGGAGGCCTTCCCGCGGTTCTGTCCCGTGGCACACTGCCAGCCTCAGGCTGCCCCGATCTGAAGATTCCTGACAGGCGAGCCGAAAGAGATTCATGAATTCCTTGTCAGGTCAAGCAACCAAACGTTTTCCCCCAATCTCTCTCCAAGACCGTCGAGCTGGCCCCCTGCAAAGAGTTTGTAGACCGGCCGCTGATTGTTGACACTGAAGCACTGCTTAATGGTGCGATAAACGGACACGCGCCGTCAGTCCGAGAAGTGGCTTCGCAGCGAGATCAGTGCAGAGCAATGTCGGACACGGTATCCACCCATCCTGCCCTTCCTTTCCTTCCTTGCTCAGTCGGCTAAAGCATTGATCCACTCCGACGAGGGGGATACTTCGAGATGAAGGCTGAATCACAGATTCTCCGCCAATTTGTAGCGTGGCAGGAACACGATTCGTTCCAGGGTGTATAGGCCTAGGAAACCAGGAAGTAACATCCTCACAGAAAGCTCGCACAGGCTGCACCGCAGCATGAGCATTAAACAGAGAGTCCAAACAGACCTCGAGGGCTGAATCTACTGAGTTCAAGCTTGCGTCCAAGCCTTGGATAAGAGGCTCAGCCCCCAGTACAACGACTCTACTCCACCGGGCTGGCACAAACGAGCTGCAAACAAGCCCTGGGAACGAAGATCTTGAGCAGGACAGGCAAGCCGCATCTGTAGGGAATGAGTCTGCCAAAGCTGCGGTCCCAAAAACTCTTGCCTCATTGCATCCTATTCGTGGTCAGAGCCAGTGCGCTCGTTGTGCCCTTGTTTTTTCACTTGTGCCGCGCTTTCGTCAGGCCAGCCGGTTCCAGCCCAGACCCAGGACGTGAGTCACATGGTGCCCGGCACTCTGCTCGATCTTGTGGAAACTTTTGAGCTGGAAGACTCATTGAGGCTTCCCACACCTGCCGAAGCGCAAAGCCAAATCGACCAGCTCCAGAAGCAGCTTCAGCAGTGAAGGCCCAAGGCATCCTAAAGGCTCTAGAGCTATCGCACGGTTCAAGGGATGAGGCAGATGATCATGGCAGCCTTGCTTCTTGGTCTTGTTCTGAGGCTCCAGCAGCAGCAGCAGCCGTTGACTCGGAGAGGGAACTGTTCAGAAGATGTGGGCTTCCGACTGAGCACACCGAGGCTGATCATGCAACGCCAGATGCAGGGTCTGCAAGTGCCCTGTGCTCGAAGGGTGAGTGTCGCTGAGTGCAGCTTCTCCGCCCTGCCAATCGAGGCTTGCAAGCCCCTCGACGCCAGCTCCGCAGCCGCAATTCTAAACCAAAGCCTTCGCAGCACCGCAGCGCGGTTCGGACTTGGCGGAGCCTCCTCGCCAGTCCTCCGCCAGTCCTCTGAAAAATTCGCCCCGGCCTCGGCTCAGGCTCCGGCGGCTCCGGCGGCTCCGGCGGAGGCTCCGCCTGCCCAGAGCTCGGCTCCAAACGCGCCAGGGCCGCCTCAGCCGGAGGTGCGACGGCCTCTCAGCTCCTTTACACTCTTTCTGCCTCCTTGCAAAAGGCACCGCCTTCGCAGCCCCTCCCGGTGACTCCACCACCGCCGGCAGCTCTTCAGGCTGCTTTTGGCTTTTGATTCGGAGTGGAGCAGCCTTTTGACACCAGCAGGTGGAGGACCTGGTCGAGGCCTGTCGCTTCTGACCTCACAGAGCTCTCGGATCGATTGCGCCTCGACTCGCCAAGGCCCAATGTGCCGGTTGGGGAGACGAGTGGTTCCCAGCGAAGGCTAGAGAACTTGTGAGTGCCAGAAGCTTCTTGACCGTGACCCTTTACACTTGTGTTACAGGTGCGAGAGCTCCTGCCCAACAACGAGGTTCAGGCCAACGTGCGCGGGATTGCGCGCGCCTGCGCGACGCGGCCCTTGTCTTTACAATTTCTGGTGCCTGTGAGGTTCTCTGGGAAGGCGAAGAGCCTTCCATCTCCAACGTTTCTTTGAGCATGGTCCGCAGACGAGGCTCAGGGGCCGGGGAGCTGCCCTCTGCGTGCTGAGTGTGATTTCCAACTTGAGGCGATGCGATGAGCGCGGAACGAGCGAGCGCGGGTGAGCCGGTGTCCCAGCCTGCGGCTGCTCCGGCTGCTCCTCCGGCTCCTGCGGCTCCTGCTGCCGCTCCAACACTCCCGCCCCCCGGCGGAAGAAACAGGGCCGCTGGTGGTGCTGGAGAGTTGGAGACGTGCGTGGTTCGTCGAGGCCAGAGGCCGAGGCTCCCTCAGCGCGGAAGAGGCCCGCCGCGGAGGCCTGGCTTTTGGGAGCGCCGCGCGCTGCGCTCTGCGCTCTGCGCGCCGAGAGCGCTGCGTGCGCAGAGAGAGCTGTGAGGCTGCGTCCTCGGGGCCTTTGGGGGCCGTGGGCTCCAGGACGGCCTGATGCCCAGCTCTCCGGCCTCCGGCGTTCTGCTCCAGACTCTAACTCTAGCGCGTCCCCTGCGAAAAGAAGCTCTGCCCCGAGATTCTGCTCTTGCTCTTGCGGCTCCCTGTTTTTTAGAGAGGTCTCTTCTAGAGTAAAGGTAGGGGGTTCGAGTAAAGCCTCGGTAGTTGGAGAGGGCCATGGGCGATGATGCGGGGAAGATCTTTGTGGGAGGCTTGCCCAAGAGCTGCTCTTCGGAGGCCTTGCAGGCCTGGGCGATGCAGCACGGCATGGTGAGCAACGTCGAGGTGAAGGTCGACCCCATGGGCGTCTCTAGGGGCTTTGGCTTCGTCACCTTCCAGGACCCACAGGTAGCCCAGAACATCGTTGCCAACAAGGACAACAACTCCATGGACGGCAAGTGGATAGACTGCAAGCTGGCCATGCCCCCAGGCTCCGCACCCGCAGCCGGTGCCAAGGGCGCAGGGAAGGGTTCGATCGACCCGAACAACCCGAAGATCTTTGTCGGGGCCTTGCCGAAGAGCGCCACTGATGACTCAGTGACGGCTTACTTCGGCCAGTTCGGAGCAGTCAGAGAGGTCACTGTCAAGATGGCAGAAGATGGTCAGTGCAAGGGCTTTGCATTCGTGACCTTTGAGGACGTAGCCTCCGCCAAGCTCGTCTTGGACAACTACAACTCGAACATGTTCGAGGGCAAGTGGATTGATTGCAAGCCAATCGTGTCCATGCCGAAGGGCAAAGGCAAAGCCTTTGGCAAAGGCTTTGGCGGATTTGGAGGCTTCGGCAACGGTGGTTTTGGCAAGGGCGGCTATGGCATGGGAGGAGGTTTCGGTGGCTACGGAGGTGGTTATGGCGGCGGCTATGGTGGTGCTTGTGGTGGCTATGGCGGCGGTGGCAAGGGTGGTTACGGCGGTGGCGGCTGTGGCGCATATGGAGGAGGTGGCTTCGGTGGAAAAGGGGGAGGGGGAGGATACGGTGCAGCTGCGATCGGATACGGTGGTGGCTACGGAAAAGGCTATGCGCCGTACTGAGCAACGGCGGAGCTGATGGCCTGAGCTGCATGGCTTATAGGCAAAAAAAGCTGTTTCACATCCCAAACCGGCCTCAATCTTGTCGTATGAATGGAGGGTAGTCTTAGGCATGTGGCCGCAAAGAGCGAACATGACTCGTGCCAATGCAAAATTCAAAATGTTCGCCCGACGAGATCTGACTGACGTGGCCATTCTCGCAAGCCGGATCCACGGGACTTTGAGGCCAAGTCCGTCGAAGTGGAGGGGCCTCTGATGGAGTTCAGCTTGCGTGCGCGCCCGAAGTACCGAGCGCGAGCATCAGGGCGAAAGGCCTTGCAGTCGGGCCATGGACTCACCGACTCAGGTCCCGGCATGGAGTTTTCAGAAGCTTTTGCCAACCTACGCAGGCAGGAAAGCTCCTGGACTTACGCTGCCACGGCGTATATATAAGCGTGGCAGCTGTTCTGTCCTGAGGCGCTTGGAGCTGGAGTTGAAGGAGGGCCGGAAGGTGTCGGTACGGCTGCGCGTGTTGAGGCCATGGGGGGTGACTTCGCTTGCTCTCATTCTCTACTTACTCTACTTACTTCTTCTGCTGCTACTACTACTACTACTACTGCTACTACTACTGCTACATACTGCTACTACTACTGCTACTACTACTGCTACTACTTCTACTTCTACTTCTACTTCCTCTTCTTCTTCTGGTTCTTTAGACGAGGCCCCCGCCGGAGCCCACGTCGCCAGCGCCGGGCGAGGTGCCGCCCGGCGAGCCGCCGCCCGGCGAGCCGCCGGGAGAGCCCCCCGAGGCGCAGGTCGCGCCGGCGCCGCCGGGGCCACCCGACACGCCGCAGACGCCGCAGACGCCGCCGGTGATGGAGGCCTCTCTTTTTTTGGTCTGCATCGAGATTCGCGTGCTGCTGATTGGGGCATTGGGTCATCGAGAGAGGCCCTGCAGAGGCCTGTCCTGCCAAAGGACAAAGGCGAGGCACCATTCCAATTTTGCTGAGACTGCCGCGCATCGCAGCTGACAGGCGCTGTGCCGCCTAGCTTCCCGAGCGGGCCGCGGGGGAGGGGAGTGTGCAAGCGAGTTCGCTCAAGCGCCGATCCGTCCTGCGAGGCGATCAATGCCGCAGAAGGGCTGGTGGAGGCTGGGGCAGGTTCTCGAACTGAACTCAGAAAGAACCGGAGAGCCTCAGCCAGGCCGGGCTACGGAGGCCAGGAGGGCCGGGAGGGCCGGGAGGGCCGTGCGCGCGCCCGCGTGTTCGGTTTTTGGCGGAGTTTTTTTTTGCTGAGGCTATGGCAAGGGCAACGGCTTCCGAGCTGCTAGCTCAGTCTCAGAGTTCGAGCGGCGATGCCTGAAGTCAGCTTTGCGAGGCACCCAGCTGGACCTGAGGGCGGTTCAAAGAGTGCTGACGAAAAAAGGTAGCATCATGTTTGCGTTCTGTCCTTCCACGCCTTCTTTCCATGCCAGCACTGAGGCATTTCACAGACATTCGCAGAGCATGCTGAACCCGCAACCTTTTGGCTGCAGCAAATGGATGTCCCTAATTTGCCCGACTGCGAGTTGGGTCAGTCGCGGCCTCAAGGGTCCTTTTCTGCGAGTTGCATCATCGCATGGAGATTTTGTCCAGCCGCCGCTGACATCAGGCAGCGGGAATGCCGCCGCGAGCCCAGCAGACGAGAAAGCCTGGAGCTGTGGGAACATGGGATTTTGCAGAGCGACACTAAGTCCGACACCTCCGGAGCCCGGGAAGCCGCCGCAACGGCTGCAGGATCGGTCCGGTCAAGGGTCCCTCCTTTGCTGGTGCCCGCTCGCTGCTCGCTTTTTGCAGGATCCGTTGCAAGATCGGCCCGTGAAAGAGGCAGAGGAATTCCACACCGCTCTCACAGTCCTGCTCTGCGCTAGCTCCCCTTCTGCTGTCAGGTGCCTTTGCCACCCGCCCAGCTGTTGACTGCAGAAACCTTTTACGAGAAGTGGGGCTGGCTCGGCTGTCGACTGTGCACAGAAAGAGAGTGATGCAACAGGGTTTCTGCTGAGCTGTAGCCAGGAATGGTGAGCCAAACATGCCGGTACTCATGGAGCATTTGCCAGCTTCTCAAGCTTCAACCTGTGTCCGACATGTCGACGATGACCGACTGCAGGATTTTGGAAGGAGCTCTGTCGCAAGAGCTCCTCTTGGACATAATAAGCAAGGCGGCTTTCCTCAACAGGTGTAGCTTGTGGCTATTTGGCTTGTGCTTTCAAAAGCAGGCGTCAGACCTGTTCAAGGATGAACCCAACTTGCACAGCGCCCGGTGAGAGTGGCCATCCTCTCTCCTCACTGCTCTCTGTGGAGCTTTTCCGTCGAAACAGGTTGAAACTCAACGATCCCATTACAGTAGTTGGAGACATCCACGGCCAGCATCCCAGACTGTGACGATCCGGCGGACTTGAGCATTTCGAAAAGCCTTGAACTTGAGGTCAGTATTACGACCTTGTGAAGTTGTTGGAGGTGTGCAGGGGTGCAGTCGTCGGTCGTACAGCGCAGAGAGACATCGCAGCTGTAAAGATTCAGGTTGGTGGGCAGCCTGGTGAGACGCAGTACATCTTTCTAGGAGACTATGTTGATCGTGGCTTGGTGCAGTTAGAGCCGAGAGCATCTCAGCGTTCGCGAAGAGCATCAGAGCCGAAAATCCCTCTTCAGGTGGCTCCTTCTCCGTCGAGGCCATCCACCGTTCAGCTCTGCAGAGTTGTTTGCACTCAAAGCCCTCGTCGCGAGGTTGTTGCTGTGCTGTACTCCTTGAAGATCAAATACCCTAAGCAGGCTCCGGTCTTAACTGAGCGGCTGCAGCCGCTTCCGCTCCGACAACTCAAGCCCCAACTCCGCCAGCCCAGGTACGAATGCTCAGAGGAAACCACGAATGCCGACAGATGACGTCGTTCTTCAACTTCCGTGAGGAAAGGGCTTCGGGCTTTGGGGTGTCAACTTTTGCAGTTGTCTCATGGCTCCACGACCTGGGGCCTTCGTTGATGCTGGCACCAAGAGGGCAGCATCATGAGCATCATCGGGTCTCCACTTCGCCCTTGTGCAAGCAAGGTTTCGCTCAGTTCAGCTTCGTAAGTAATGCGAGTTGGGCTTGGGGTCAGCGGATGTCAACGTGTATCCAAAGGGGAAGTGCAGAAGAGGAAGAGTGCTGCTGGCGACCCGACCCGACCCATCAAGGAGTGTGAGTACAAGTACGACATCGGAGTTTACAATGCGTTCATGGACCTGGCCTCAGCTTTTCCATTGGGTGGAAGGGCGCCGCTTTGAGCCAAGGACTCCTTTGACAACCTGCCTTTAGCAGCCACCATCAATGGCAAGCTGGCGCCTCGCCACGCTCTCGGGGGCGTCATGGCTCGCTTTGGTTGCGCTGAGGTTTCTTTGTGTTCATGGCGGCCTCTCTCCTGACCTTGGCAACGTCAAGGCCAGCGGCCAGCGTATTTCTGCGATCAACGTCACTCTCAGCTGCCTGTGCTGAGTCGAGGCCATTACAAAGATCAATCGCTTCACTGAGCCTCCAAAGGAAGGCCTCTTATGCCACTTGGCTGACAATCCGTGCGCATGCGTTCACCTGTGGCTCTGCCCCGACTTTGGTTCAGCATCTTAGGTGACTTGTTGTGGTCCCGCGCTTGGAGACGTGAATCTGCAAGAAGAGGGCGTCTAGCTCATCGGGAGTCAGGTCGGATCCGCTAGAACCCAAAGACGGAGAACAGCCGTCTCCCAAGAGTGGCGCGTTTTTTTTCCCCAGCATCGTAAGACACGCCGAAAGGTGTGAGGCCTCTCAGCCCGACCATCCATGCAAGCAAATGCAAGCAGTCCGTGTGCGCCCTCAGGCGGCCCAGCGCCAAGAAGGGCGGCCCGCCTTTCGTGCCGAACGAGGCCGGCATCGCTTGGAGCTTTCGAGAGCCTCGCTTGCAAAACATCAGGTCCGCGGCTGTTCGTATTTCTACAGCAACGCTGGCATGGCCTTGTCACACGGAAACTGCCGCAAGCCGAGAAGCTGCCAGGTTTTGACGGAGCGACAACATTTCTGAAGAAGAACAACTTGTTGCCCGAGACTTGCTCCACGGCACGCAGAGGAGGGGACGACCAAGACAGATCTGAGGTCGATCATTCGGGCTCACGAAGCTCAACTCGAAGGTGCGATCGCACGCATCTCCGTGGCAGAGCACAGCCAGCATCAGCCAGCACTGGAAGGCTACAAAATGCACAAGACGAATCCAAGCACAGGCTTTCCTCTTGTGCTTGCCTTACTTGTGAAGTCATTCTGTCTTCGCGATACGCACATGGCAGAAGCAATGCGGGGAGCAACGGACGCAGCGGCACAGTTGCACAGCCGTGTGCCCAGGTCATAACAATTTTCTCCGCGCCGAATTATTGTGACGTTTACAACAACAAGGCTGGTTTGCAACATTATTTTCGTCTCGAGTCAAGGGCAGTCAGCCTTGCTGCAAAGGGAGCCATTCTTAAGTTTGACAACAGCACCTTGAACATCTTGCAGTTCAACTGCTCACCGCCTCCTCCCCAGCTCATCGCATCGAAGTTGTCATGTTGCACATGTCAAGAGGGCACGGAAAAAGCATCCGTCACCCATCGGCGGAACAACCAAGGCACCCCTATCACCTGCCTGTTTCTGAGACTCCCGTGAACACGGTCACTGATGCTTTTGGGGGCAGTAGGCCTGCGCCCTGCTTTTGGTGTGAGGCCAAACTTCATGGATGTTTTCCAGTGGAGCATGCCCTTCGTCATCGAAAAGGCTCGGCCAGGGCGGCGGGGATCACTAGCCGAGCTCCGGCTGCCCTCAAAGGTGACGGAGATGCTCTACTACATCCTGCAGCCTGCAGCCGGAACGGTGGATTCCGACGATGACTCCGACCGAGACTTGGAGCGATGCAAAAAGGTGTGTTCTGAGAAGCGCCAGAAGCGCAAGCCGCAAAGCCCGTTGTCCGAAGGCCTTGCCCACTCTGCCTGACTCCAACTGGGTCAACCACAGAGCTAGGCCCTCAGGCTCCTCAGGCCTCGGAGTTTGCGGGCGCGCTGTTCAACCCTCTTTGCTTTCAGGCCTCCCTGACCGACGATCAGAATCAGGCCCACGCCCTGCGCTTGGGAGCTTGCGCGGTAGAGCTCGAAAGCCTGTGCCAGACGGTGGACATGGCCACACGCCTGGCCGCACGGACCTTTGCTGCCATCAACCGTCACCACCTTCCGGCTTTCTGCCACCTGCGCTTTGTGCTCCAGAGGCGTTGATCGCAGGCGAGAATGCCAAGGAAAGAGAAGCAAGTGGTTCAAAGGCCGACGGTGTAGGGCCAGGGTAGCCTCCGTCAAAGCGCTCAGTGCCAGGTCGACCCAGAGGTTCGAGACCGAATGCGAAAGAAAGTGCGATCCATCGCAAGGCCCGACCGACAAAGCGCGCGCGCCCCTCTTGCCATGCGCCGTCGCTTGCCATGCCTTGCCAGGATGGCCCGCATGTTCAAGACTCTCAGACAGGACCGGCTTGGGCGGGGACGGCTTTCATCCGACCGAGGGGGCCGCTTCTCGGCTTCTAACAGCAGGAGAACGAGACCGTCGTGCGTCTCAAGGGCGTTTGCCCCGGCGTGTGGCTCAGAAGTTGGCAGGTACGGGCACGGATGGGCACGGGTTACCCGCTGACGTGCTTTTGAGGCCACAAGCTGGCTCCAGGGCTTCTCCTTGCGGGCAAGGACCGATCAACAATCTGACTCACCCCCCTTCGACCGTCAGACTGCAGAGGAGCGACTGACCTCTGAGCTGGAGCTCTTCAGCCACGCCCAGGAGACATCGGGATCAGGGGCCCATGGCACGGCCTAGTCGCATCGCGCTCTCGCTCAGGGCATCGATCTGGTGAACGAGAAGCGGCCGGAGGCCGCAGGGGACCAAAAGGGGCAGAGAAGTGCTCAGCCGGCTCAGCCTCTCGCACCGAGGAGGGCAAGTCCGGCCCTGGGCTCAACAGCCACTCGGACGCAAAGCCCCTTTGAACCCCTCGTTTTCGCAGAGCTCACGTCCCACTCAGGCCCGACGGACTTCCGGGATGCGGGGATGATGAGCGACGGCGAAGTCAGCTTGGGCACCAGAAACCCTTGATCTATCCGCAAATTCCGCGCAAGCCTCGTGCTTTGACGAGGTCCCTGACGTGCCGGGAGGCCTTCCTTTGCGAGGTGCTGGAGGATGGGTCTGGCTTTCGGAGGAGAGTCTACTTGAGTCCTGAGTGTCAGGCGGACGTTTGGGCTGTGAGCGTGGCAAACGATGTTCCGAGCTTGAATGCCATGTGCGCGCAGGGCACAGCACGCAGCCAAGCATGCGCGCACTCGCCAGAGATTCACGAGAGTGTTCACGCAATTCCCTAGACTCTTCAACCCTAGAAATCCTCGAGGCCCTAGATGCTTTATGTACAAGAGAGGGGTGGTCTTATGTGCAGTGACGCAGACGCCATGATGGCGTGCATGCGTTCTCTAACGAGCACGCCCACCGCTTGGCAGAGTCTCACCCCCAATGCCCTCGAAGACTCGCTTCTTCTCAGCCCACGAGTTAGGCCGCGGCCATGATTGATGGTCTCTTTTTGAGGCGAGGATGCGAGGGAGCTCTGTGCTCTAGCCCTCTTCAGTCTCTTTGAGGGAGCTTAAGAGGGCACTGTCCGAAAGAGCAGCGACGCTTTGTGTCGGGAGGTATGGTTAGGATCTTGGTTGTGGACTCGACTCGTAGACCAGGCATTTGACATTTCATGATGAGATCGGCAGCCGTCCTGCATTTGTGAAATGCCGGACGCCCAAGTCTGTGGGAGTGGAGCTTGCCGCAGAAGACAAAAAAAGGTAGACCCTTTGTAGTGCGGAGAACATGCGCTTTTTTGATGGATGTTGGGTCGGACTGGCTGTTAGCAGCAAGGGACATGACCATGAAGCCCGACGAACCGGCACTCCGGAAAGATGCCCAAGTGTCACATTCCAACGCCAACGATCAGGGGGTCTGCAGTGAGCCATGTACCTCTTTCACCGGCTGCTGAGCCTGTTGACGATGATGTACAACGAGCACGATCAGTTGACTTTGTGTGGGCAGCTCAAGTCACAAGCGACAACGTAGTAGCAAGCCATTGGAAGCTGTCGAGCAGCGGCTGTGACAGGTGATTTCGTCAGGCCAAAACAGCGCCGACAGATTCAGCGAAACTGGGATGCTAAAGTCAGTTCAGACCTCATTTCTCGTCTGTTTGTGGCAAACCGGGTGGTCTTTTCGTCGCCCCGGTCGCGTTGACGGTTCGTTTGGGATGCTCATTTGAAGCTGCTGCCTCCCCTCCGTCTACTGTTGCCATTCCAACGGCACTGCTGTTGCCAGCAGTATCATCCGCACAGCAGGTTTCCTGTTCAATGGCACCCGTCATATCAGGAGATCGATCTGCCCAAGCTGATGGCGAGGAGTGACTGTTTCTTGCACTGGATGTCCTTTGAGAAGACTGCTCCGAAGACAGGAGGGTGACAAGACACCGACCGATTCGCCTCAAGCAAAGGCGAAGGCGAAACCGAAGGCCGGCTGGCTTTGCCGGTCTTGTCTGAAAGTTCGCAGCTACTCAGTTCTGGTGGCATGTTCAGGTTCAACCTAAGCCCAAAGCGGGATGAGGAAGCGCCTTCCAAAAAAAGTCGCGGGGAAGCGGCCGCAGCCGCTGAGAACCGTCCACGGAACGGTTTGAGGCTCCGTAGAGGTGAGGGCCTGGGCCCAAAGGACTGGCCAAAGCGTTGGGGGGGGAGGGGGGCGGTAGCGGCGGTACCGGGAGCAGGCGCAAAAAGGGACCGGCACGGAGAGAGAGAGGTCACGAAGGAACACGGGCAGAGCTCGCAAAAAAAAAAAATGAACAGTTACGAGGAGATGCTGACTCCTTGCCTGGGCTCAAGCTTTGCAAGTTAGGCCCTTTCGAAGCCATGCTTCGATGAGCCTTCATCTCAGCCTGAGCCCGAGCTTTTAGCGATGCAATGTCCTTGAGCTCCTCTGAAGGATGGCCACGGCCAGGGCCGTGGCCATGCCTCTTCCGCCTCCCCCTCCTCTTCCTCTTCCTCTTCCAAGAGGGCGGCCTTTTTTTGCAGGCCCGTGCCGAGAGGCCTCAGGCGGGGCACAGAAGCCCCTCTCCGGGGTAAGAGAGAGAGAGGGAGAGAGAGCGAGAGAGAGGGCCCATGCAGGAGTGGCGGAAGCAGCGCAGCTCGGCCTCGGCCTTGCACCTGGAGGCCTGCAGCTTGGACCGGCAAAGTCCAGCGCAACGTGCCATCGAAGGGCGCCCCCCGTGATCTCTTAGGACGGCGCCAATGCTTCTAATTCGTCTCAGGCGGGCATCCGGACGTCCGGACAGCTGCACGACTCCATGCCATTTAAGCGACGTGGTCCCAGGATGGCGCCAATGGGTCTGAGTCGGCCAAGGTCCGAATCCCAGATCCGTGAGCAAGAAAACGGTGCGGTGGTCGGGTCAAGCCAGGATGAGGCCTTTGCATATGCGGACACGACCGGTCAGATCGCGAAGCCGGCTGCCAAGCAGTCCTTGCGCAGTCCTCTTTCAGACAAGTCCTGGCCGGAGGCTCAAGCAGGAAACCAAGCAGTACGAAGATCAAGTCAAGGGCCCGGTCGTGGACACGGCCGTTGCTTGGCGAGATCCTTCAAGACGCGTGGAGCAGGGCCATGCGATGTGTGTGGGCGGGGCGACCGTTTCTTCTGATGCAAGGACATGTGGCTTCAGGAGAACACGCGCAGCTCGCAAGAGAGTTGGTGCACAGGGCTACGCCACGTGGTGAGTTGCAGATTGCTGTCCGAACGTCGAGCAAACTCTTAGCATCCTTCTGCACGATCGGGGCTTGATGTTGGCAAGAGTGCACCACCTGCCATGTTCAAGTACGCAATCCGAGGCCACGAGGAGTTTGTGAAGGAGCTGAGTCGCGGAATGGATATTGAGAAGCAATTGGTCCACAAATTGCGCCCCTTTGTCTGCCACGGCGGCGCGGAAAACGCCGTCGTGGAGCTTTCAACTGCAACAGCACTAAGGCACGGAGGCAAAGAAGAAGGCAGAGGAGAAAATGAAGGAGGCCTGCGTTTTGAATGAAGAAGCCCTCCGATCCCACCTGCAGAAAGGCGCAGGCAGAAGCGGAGGCGGAGTCGAACTCCACTACGGAGTCGAACTCCACTGAGGCGAACTCCACCAAGGAGGCAAGTTCCAAGGGCACGGAGACGAACTCCAACTCCACCGAGGCTTCGTCAGGCGCGGCTTCATGCCTCAGAAACCTTTTTCGCCTCTTCCTCTACTGCTGTCACTAGAGGCGCCGAGAAAGGTCACGAGAACACGACGTCGAGATCAAAGTGAGTCAGCGTGGAGCATCTTGTCTTGGATGACTCTGCTGGCCCAAGGGCATCCCAAAACCACTCTCCGCATCAACATAAGGGACTTCCAGTCTTTTGCCTCGGGAAAATGTTGAGGGTATCCTGCAGCGCTGCTTGATGGCTGCTCTTACGTACAGTATAGGTTTCCACGAACTCAGGAAGACGATGCAAGCAAACATAGTCCTGAAATTGCATTGGCCGCCAGGGAGCTTCAGGCTGTGGTGTTTGGAGAGGAGCACCCGTCCCGAGAGACATTCATGTACTGTATGGAAGCATGTGGAAGGCAGCAACAGGACGAACAGATGTACACACCCCTGCACACCCTAAGCTCTGAGCTTCACAACACACCAAAAGAGCATTTGGCCGTCTACTTCCGGGCTCGCGGCTCGTCGGCTACGGTTTTCTTGTTTAGCTTTTCTGTGCTGTATGGCTGCCGGATGAGTATGTGGGTAAGGGTTGCCAAGCGGACGCAAAGTCTTGGGAAATGTGTCCGGACTACAAGGCAGCTGGATTCACAGCTGACTGTGAGTCCCGATGGGGTTTCTAGCCGATCCTAGTCCTTGTGCCAGCCTGCTTCCTTGTTTCGACTCGGCCTGCATCCGCAGCATTTGCCACAAGCCGAAAGCTCCTTGTTGTGCAAAACCAAATAGACTTGCAATGGGGTTGCTCAACATCTTGAAGAAGATGAAGAAGGACCGCCGGGGCTCCGCAGACGCCTTCCAAAAGCTGCCACATGCACAATGCAAAGGACGACCAGGAAGCCCGGATCCTAGTGTTGGGATTGGACAACGCGGGCAAGACCACCATTCTCAAGAAGCTGTGCCCAACTAAGATTCGGTCAGGGTGAGTCCCAGATGCACGGGAAGAGCACGGTGGCGTTGCTGTCGTTGTGGTAGGTCCGAGGAGGACATCTCCCATATTATGCCGACACAGGCCCGAGATTGTTTTGTGGGTTCAGCGTGTTGGCGCTGTCAAGCCCTCAAGGCATCCGCCAAGACCTGTGGATGCTGCATATCATTTGCATATTTGCCGTGCCTCGGTTACACGCCCCGCTTCAGGGATTCAACATCAAGAGCATCATGCAAGATGGCTTCAAGTTGAACGTTTGGGACATTGGTGGGCAGAAAGCGATTCGACCCTACTGGAGCAACTACTTCGAGAACACGGATGCGCTCGCCCGGCGCTCGGTCCAATGCGTCGCAGTTGCAAAGGAAGCAGCAATGGGGGGGCGGGTCCGTCAGGATTTCCCCGAGTAGCTGCGCACCAAGCCCAGCACCAAGCACAAACTGTCGAAATCCTTGAACAGCTTTCGCGCAAGAGAACGAACATCAACGGTTGCCCACACAAGACTGAGCATTGTTGAGATGATGAAGAATGACAAAATTTCAAAAGCACTGCTGCCAACTATAAGCCAGGAACACAGCAGCCGGACCGTGGAAACGGTGGGCCATCTCTTTGCTAAAGCGACTTCGTGCAGTTGCAAAATCGCCGGGCTCCTGTTCTTGTATGCACGGTTTCCAAGAAGCCGCAAAGTGGCACAAGTAGAGACTATGAGCAGAGCAGGCTAGGAGCATGAAGCAACTAGAATGGCATTCCTGAGGCTGGATATGAATATGGTAACAGTCATGGACAAGTTATGGTCATCAGATTGGGACACGTGCGAGAAAGAATCCTGATCATCAAAACTGCAGCAACACTACTAGCAACGCCAGCGGTACAATTCGAACTCCTGAAATCTCCTCTCGTCGTCCCGGAGGTCTACGTCATCGACTCCTCCGACCGGCGCCGCCTAGAGGAGAGCAGCGCCGAGCTGCGGGAGCTCCTGGCGGAGGACAAGCTCGGAGGAACGCCCATGCCAGGGGCTCAGAGCATTTCAAGAGACTCACAAGGAGTGCCACACGGGCGACGAGCAGACCGACACGTGTTGTTGTGATATGCTATTTTTGCTATATCTTGTGAGTACGATGAGTATTGTGGGCATCGAAGGTAGGGAGCAGACCAGGAGCAGGGTTGTAGCGCTTCCTGAAAGCAGCGACGACACTCGCACTGGCTCTCGCCGTCCGCCCAGTCTCCGATTCGGGATACCTGGTCTTGCCGCCACAGTCGTTTCTCATCGAAGCGTGCAGCCGTGCGCGGGCCGCAGGGGGCCAGCAGGGCAAGTGTTGAGATCGGTGTCCAAGGTGTCGCGCACCTCGCATATCTTGTGGAATCTCCTTACCTCTCTACTGAGGACTCTACTGCCCTGCGTGTCTCTTCGTTGTTGATTTTCCTTGTTTCTCCGGCATCGCTGAGCACTGCTGAGGCTGGTCTACGCCAACAAGCAGGAGCAAAAGGGTGGCACCCGACACGCCTCTGCGCATGTGCTCGGTTTGAAGGATCTGCTACAAGCATCGCCCGCAGACGAGATCGCAGACGTCATGGGGCTGGCCAGCATCACTGACCGAGTGCAACTTGGCCTCGAACAATCGACGGACTGCTGGCCAGCATCACTGACCGAGTGCAACTTGGCCTCGAACAATCGACGGACTGAATGTGCTGGCTCCACCTCCACTTTGAGGTGGACTATCCAAGCATGCAGCGCCAAAACGGGCGAAGGTCTGCAGGCGGGTTGGTTGTGTCTAACTGCACACTTGGTCCCGGCTCGGTGCCCTGGCGGCCACCCGCAGGAAGGCATGGAGTGGCTCATCGGAAACTGTCAGAAGTAGCCGAAGTGGAAGGCGCAACACGCGCTTCCCCCCCAGCGGATGTTTCACGCTAGTTTCTCCGGACTTCACATGCCCAAGCATGCGGTTGACGGGAGCAAAGCTGCTAGAGTGTAGGCTCCATCAGCTGCCGTCTCACTAAGATCACCTGACTCGCCGGTAGCATTAGCAAGGAAAGGGCAGTTTTCTGCACATGCTTGCAAGCCTTGGCTGTGACTTCTGCTGTCTGCAGCGCGTCTGGGCCGACAGGACTATTGAACTTATCGGTATGTGGGAGACACGCAGAGGAGGACAGGAGCAGCAAGCAGCGCGAGAGAAGCACGGACAGACAAGCAGAGCACCTAGCCACAACCATGGTGAGAGATGGGTACTCGGCAAGAAGAGATGCCCGGAACTCAGATTCGTTGGGAATGAGAAGCCCACGTCTTGGCAGTTTTCGGGAAGCCTGAGAGAGTGTCAGGGCCCACCACGGCCGGGCCGGAAGGCGGGTGATGGCTTTGAAAGCTCCGGCCGTGCATGGCCGGTCCCGCAGGACGAGCAGCCACCGAGCATTGGTCGGCAGCCCAGCGGCGAACCAGCCATCTTGGAGCACCGTGAGCTCCTGGAGCTTCAGGTGCGACCCCGGCACTGGAGGCCTTCCGTGCCGCAGCCCTCGGCCCTGCAGCACAGCCCTCGACCGGAGAAGGCGACAAGAGCATTAGGGAGAGGAGCAGAGCCGTGTCCACCCTATCTTGCCAGATCGCCGGCTGACCTCCTTGGAGATGTACACCCAGAATCAGGCATGGTCTGATGTCCATGCACGAACCAGCTTTCGAAGAGACCAGAGCCAGTCAGCAAGACGGAACATCTGTGGAGCAGGGTGTTTAAATCGGACATTCCCAGACTCTTAGACCGATCTGCAAACTACATCCTAGCATAGCTGCAATGCGTGCTGCAAGCCAATGGGCCGTGCAGCGACCTTTGTTTCGCCGGCCTTTCTCCACGCACTACGGCCACTATGGGCTGTGGGTGAACGGAGAATATGTCGAGGCTGCTGGAGGGCGGCGGTGCTCGGTTTTGAGCCCAGCGACGGGCGAGGAGGTGGCCACCTTCGCGTCTGCGGGCGCTGCGGACGTCGACAGGGCCATCTCGGAAGCCTCCAAGGGTTTTGAAGAGGGAGCCTGGAGCGAGCGTTTCTCGCCCCGGGACAGGTGTCGGGTCCTCTCGAAAGCCGCAGAGCTCCTTCGTCAAAGCTTGAAGGACTTGGCGGAGTTGGAAACACGACAGACAGGGCGCTGCCTCCGGGAGTACCATGCGCAGCTGGGAAGGGTGCCCGAGTGGTTCGAGTACCACGGCGCCTATGCCGCGACCAAGGGCTTCGAGGGCCGACTCCCGGCCATCGACCGCGACCATGTGAACTTGGTCTGGAGGGTACCTTTGGGCGTCTGTGGTCTGATCACGCCATGGCAGCCTGAATGATCCAGACCACATAGCAGGTTGTCATAAGTGGGGAAAGCTTGCTTTTGCCATGCTTCGCAGCGCTTTGCGTCTTCTCCCAAACCAAACCTGCTCGACCACTTGTCCCGACCCGAAACTTTTTGCGTGGGTGCAGACGCCGGTCGTGTCAGTGAGGAATCATCCCATGCTCATTGCGGCCAAGAAGATCGCGGTAGCATTGGCTGCAGGCAACTCGGTGGTGGTTAAGCCACCTGTCGAGGCCCCCCTCACAGTGCTGCGCTTGGCCGAGCTCTTGCAAGAAAGCGGGCTCCCGCCGCGCGTCCTCCAGGTAGTGCCCGGAGAAGGCACGGAGCCCGACAAAAATCGAAGTGTATGACAGGACGGGACTGTCTTTTTTGGACCCCCTCAAAGTAGCTTTGCAGGTAGACTCTTGGGTGTGTCAAAGACAACAGGGAGGGGTCAGCGAAGAGAGGGAGAGGTCGGGAAGATTTAAAGCGAAGCGGTTAAAGAAAGCCCAGAAACTTCTGCCCCGGGCACGATGGCCTGCGTGACTTGATTGTTTTCTGCTCGTCTCTCGCTGTGTCCTTGAGGTCCCGAAGCTGGCGGGGCGCTGGCCCGGCACGAGCGCGTGGAGCGCGTGGACTTCACGGGCGGCACGGAGACGGGGCTGATCATCCAGCGCACCATGGCCGAGGCGGGACGGGTCCGAGCTTACTGCGCCGAGTTGGGCGGCAATGCGCCCATCCTCGTCTTTTCGGACACACGGAGTGTCCAGGAGGCTGTGGACGGGGTGGCGTTCGCTGCCTTTGTGGCTTCCGGGCAGACCTGTGTCAGCGGAAAGCGGATTTTGGTTCAGAGCGAGATCTTCGAGGAGTTCAAAGAGCGGCTCGTCCAGAAAGCAGAGCAGCTCCGGCTCGGTGACCCGTTGAAGACAGACACCGAGATCGGTCCGGTGATCTCCAAGAAGCAGCTCGAGCGGATCGAGAGCCAGGTGGAGCGTGCCATCGCGGCCGGTGCCAGAGCTTTGACCGGAGGAAGGAGGCCTTCAAAAAGTCGCTGTGAGCTTGCCGACACCGGACACTTCTTCGAGCCCACCGTGCTTTCGGAGGTTAGCCCAAGCAATCCCGCTTTTGCTGAGGAGATCTTTGGTCCAGTGGTCTCTTTGTCGAAGTTCGAGGCCGAAGGGGATGCGCTGGCGCTGGCCAATGCCTCGCAGTACGGCTTGGGGGGTGCCATCTGGACGGAAGACGTGCGCAAATCCCTCCGGGTGGCCAGGAAGCTTCGATGCGGGCTCAGCTGGGTGAACTGCCACCACCGCAACGACCCCTCGAGTCCCTGGGGTGGCTTCGGCCAGAGCGGCATCGGAGACTTGAGGGCATTTTCACCTTTTTACAGAGATTTCTTCAGCAAGGCTATTCAAATTATGCCGTGCGCATGTCACTGTTGCAATCCGAGGCAGGGAGAACGGGCCCGAAGCCTTCGAGGAATACACCACTACTCAAAGTCTAACAATCCGCAACAGTGACACGTGCCTTGGCTGCAGGAGGAGGACAGACATCTTTCTTGAGACTGTATGACTGTGTCACGTGACACCGAGGGCCGAGAACTGGTTCGGAGGAGCCTCCGCACGGTACGGATGAGACTTGAAGCGAAGAAAGTGTTCAAGCGAGACTGCAGGGACGGCGCATGCGACCAATGGGAGACCCTTTTGGGGCATTGGGCTGGCCACGGGCAGGTGTCTGAGCTGATCTACCAGCAGCTGCTCGCCAAGAAGGCCTGCCCTGGGCCGGCCTCGGCTTCCTCTCTGGGTTTTTTGCTTAGCCGCTTCTTTGCAGGAGCACAGCGGCATCGATGCCTGGTATCAGGAGTACGTGAGCGAGGCAGGGCCAGAAGGCAGGGGGTGATATTGGCCCCTTGCCAGCTGCCCCGTCTCACAAGGCATGGCAAAAGAGGAACAATCTCCAGAAGGCGGCCATCGAGAGGTTCCCAGGGGCCAGAGATTGATTTGATAGACAGTCGAAAGCAGCCAGTCCTCTTGCCACGCGAGAGAGACAGGCAAGCCAAGTCCTGCGGCGAGAACACGCCCATGCCCGCCTCCGAGCTTCCAAAAAATAGGCTTTTGTATCAGTTTTCTAAGTGGACAAGCTTGGGGGACCCCAATATTGCAGGTGGGTGGAGGCACTCTCGGCCGGCACGGAGCTTGCCGCCGAGGTGCCGATCACACGCGCCCATGGTTGCTCGATGCAGCTCAAACTCGGTTCCTGAAAGACTTTCACCTACCGAAGCCTCGCCGCCTGACTCCTGAACATGGTTTGGGTAGGCCGGCAGGCAGCGATTGGCCCTGTGCCCTTCTCCAGTGCCTAGCCGGGCCTAGCCGGGCCTAGCCAAACCTAGCCTTGCGGAGCTCGGGACTCCCAACTCTGGCAGCGCATCTTGACGTTGCTGTCTCGCTCCGCTCTTCGCTCGATCGCTCTTCGCGTGTGTCGAGACACCAGTCGACACCGCACATTTTGTTTGCGCGTGTCCAACTGTAGCCCTGCCACATGAACGTATGTCAGCGTTGCAGGGAAGCCACATGCTTTCATCAAGCATCACATTAAGCAGCTCGCTTTCCGCCCGCCCTTCTGGGTCAAGGCTTGGCACACTTCGAGGGGTGAAGCTATGCAATGTCAGCAGTAGCCGTTTCGGCTGGAGAAGATACCCTCAACAGGTGCTGTTACAGCCGTGCCACGGATGAGTGTGACAAGAGCACTTGCTTTGTCCTGTAGGAGAGAGATGTGCGATGATGTGCGATCGCGCCTTCTGTGCAGGTCTTCGAGGTGGACAAGGCCGAGAGGCTGCGCACCGAGGCCCTTTTCAAAGGGCTGCTCAGCTTTCTCGGCCTCTCTCTCTCTTTGCCCTTCGCAAGGTGTCCCGAGATGTGGTCGGCCCCTCGGCCACGTAGACCCAAGGAAGAGGAGATCGTGAAATGGAGGGTGGGGGGGCGGGGGCGGCGGGCGAAGATCGTGAGAGGTGCTGGAGCTGTTGGAGTCGTTATCTCCCAAGGCCACTGCCTTGCCGCTGTGTTGGAACGGTATCAGACGTCTCGCTTCTACCAACAAATGTCTGGGACGTGATGTTTGCTGCAGCTCTGCATCTCCTACTACGCCCGCTGCGGTCCCTCCCTCGGCTCTTTTGTGATGTTGGTGACGTTTGACGTTTGGTGACGCTGCACCTGTGAAGGCCTGGGACAGATTGGCATGAGAGCGGTAGTGTGACACTGAGCAACGGCAGCAGCGATTCACTCGGCCTCCGCAGGGACCTGCCTTTGAGGTTGGTGTGCTGTGGCACTTTGACACCGATGCAGAGGTGGCACTGCCAGTGGGTGAAAGTGTTATCGTTGGCACTTTGTTCAAGGGGTCCGTCTTCATGAAGGTGGCTGGCCTTTGTGCTGACTCTTTGCGGTGGGCCATCGCAGAGAATGTGCCCTTCCGGAAGGTCTCCGGCTGCTTCTGTTCGGAGCAAGCTTGGACCGAGGAGCAGAATCGCAAGATCCTGCTGGATCTTCACGTAACAGAGCCTGCCGA